GATTACAGGCTGAGCCACCGAGCCCGGTCCATGTAACATTTTAATAGAGATCCAATTGTTCTTCAAAAACTGAACTAATATAAACTTCCCCCAGGAAGAGAGCCTTGATTTCTCCAAGCTTCCCTAGCACTGGGTGTTAAGACAGTTTTTTACCTCTGCTAATTGAATAGGTTAAAATTAAAGCAGTCATGGGTGGCTCACATCTGTAATCCCAGCACTTTGGGAGGCAGAAAGACTAGGAGCCCAGGAGTTCAAGACCAGCCTAGGCAACGTATTAGGACCTCGCCTCTACAAAAAAACAAAATTTGCTGGGTGTGGTGGCACGTGCCTGTAGTCCCAGTTACTTGAGAGGCTGAGGCGGAAGGATGGCCTGAGCTCAGGAGTTCGAGGCGGTGGTGAGCTGTGATCATACCGCTGCACTCCAGTTTGGGCAACAGAGACCCCAACTCAAAAACAAAATGTTCTCTTGCAGTTAACTTACTCTGCATATGTAAATTGCTAGTGTAATTCAGTATCTTTGCTTATTGGCCCTTAGGGCCTGCCCAAATCTTTTGTCCATTTGCTATTAAATTGTTCATTAACTTTTTTTTTGGTTATTATGGTTCTTTGCAGGCTAAGACTATTAGCTTATTGTCTGCTGTATGCGGCAATAAATAGTTTCTCTGTACATTGCTATTTTATGGTATTTTTGCTACTCAATAACTGGGAACTTAATCATAGTCAAATCAGTTTTTTCATTTTAGCTGGGCTTATGACATTCTCAACGAAACCTTCCCTACCCCAAGATCATAACAAATATTTACTTATGAGCTAAACATGGTGGCTCATACCTGTAATCCCAGCCCTCTTGGGAGGCTGAGGCAAGAGGCTTGCTTGAGCCCAGGAGTCTGAGACCAGTCCGGGCAACATAGTGAGACCTCATCTCCACACAAAATCAAAAAGTTGGCAGGGCACGGTGGTGCATGCCTGCAGACGCTGCTCTTGGGAGGCTGAGGTGGAAGGATCGCCTGAGCCCAGCAGGTGGAGGCTGTGGTGAGCCGGGATCGTGGCCCTGCACTCCAGCCTGGGCGACAGAGGGAGACACTGGCTCACAAAAGGTGACCTGTGTCCACCTGAGTTGGGGCTTCCCAGGAGCGCTAGGCATGGGGTCCACCGGGACGCCGCTGGCGGAAGGAGCAGAGCAGGAGGGCTGCGGTGGGGGGCAGCCCCGGCCTGCTTGTCCCCGCACGCCTCCGCGGCCCGGACTCAGGGCGGCCGGGCCCCACTGTGCCCCACAGGCAGTTCCGCAAGGCCGAGGACCACTTCTCCGTGGCCATCCAGCACAGCCCCCAGAAGGCCCAGTACTACCTGCACCGGGCCAGGAGCCGGCAGCTGCTGCAGAACGTCTCGGGGGCCCGCCAGGATGTCGCCACCGCCCTGCTGCTCAACCCCAAGCAGCCGAAGGTGGGTCCCGCTGGGCCCCCGAGGCCGGCTCCATGCGAGAGCGAGAGCTGTGCGTGTCAGAGCAGGGGCTGCGTGCCCGGCGGCTTCCCCCGCGTCAGCCACCGCGCCCCACGGACCTCCTGGCACCCTGCGAGGCAGGTGACGACGAGCCCCCTGTCCCCGCTTCACAGAGGAGAGGAAGGCAGGGAGGGCCTTGCCCGGCTCCCACGGCTCAGAGGCCGAGCCCGCGTCTGTCTGGCTGCAGCACCCACAGCGGGGCTTGCCGGCCGTGCCCTTCCCGGAGCAGTCGCTTTCTCGCGGCCTCCCGTGGGCCAGTTCTGGGCGTAGAAGGCCAGGTCTTTAAACACAACAGCTGGGGCCAGCGCTTGGGGCGGCCGAGGCAGGATGTTGCTGGAGGCCAGTTAAAGGCAGCCGGGCAAGACGGCAGGACCGCATCCCGACATCCCCGCAATCGAACAGATTCAGACAGGCGACAGCTCGCAAACGCGTCGCGCTCAGCCCTGCGGCGGCCGCTTAGGACGCTCCTGCCCGCGCT